TGAGCCCACAAACTTAAAGATTAATAGAAGTTAGACGTAAGTAGTTATAACACCCGTCTCTTAAAGTAATGAGAATTAGGTATACAAACATGTTTTCCTACCTGGTCTGGATTCTGCCAGTTCAAGGAGATGGATGATCAGGGGACTGGAGCACCTCCCATATGAAGACAGGCTGAGAAAGTTGGGGCTGTTCAGCCTGGAGAAGAGAAGGCTGCGTGGAGACCTCATAGCAGCCTTCCAGTATCTGAAGGGGGCCTATAGGGATGCTGGGGAGGGACTCTTCATTAGAGACTGTAGTGACAGGACAAGGGGTAATGGGTTAAAACTTAAACAGGGGAAGTTTAGATTGGATATAAGGAGGAAATTCTTTCCTGTTAGGGTGGTGAGGCACTGGAATGGGTTGCCCAGGGAGGTTGTGAATGCTCCATCCCTGGCAGTGCTCAAGACCAGGTTGGATGAGGTCTTGGGTGACATGGTTTAGTGTGAGGTGTCCCTGCCCATGGCAGGGGGGTTGGAACTGGATGATCTTAAGGTCCTTTCCAACCCTAACTATTCTATGATTCTATGAGATAGCATAGAAAAGAATCTCCCCCATTTCTTTTACTGGTTTTGGGGTGATTTCTTAAATCTTATCCCAAAAACAGTCATGCTTCAGAAAACTGGCTGCTTGAAAAGAGCACTGGAACTCTTACAGCCACAGTCTGAGTGTGGTCTCACCTGATGAGCAAGCATCCACCAAACCTTTTATATGCTGTCATCATCTCCCAGCTCTGCAGCTCACTGAGAGCAGGTGGAGGGGGCTGGACCACATTCTGCTTTGAAATGGAGGCACCTGAGGGGGCCCTGGCAATGTGTGTTACAAGGGCTTAGACAGGGGTAGGAGCTGGCTTACAGCCTCTTACTGCCAATGTGTAACGTGGCAGTTGTATACACAAATCTAACACACCGAGATTTTATCTTATGTATTTGTTTTCAACCTTAAACGTATCGGGAATTTCAAATCTGGTGTTTTCTGGCTGAGCAAGAAGGGAAGCTCCGTGTACCTGCTGTTACTTCATGTAAAGAGAAAGGAAGGACTAAACTGTTAACAGAGAACTCTTTACATTAAAGTATTTCTATGGTATTTGACTTAACAGGTGCTAAGTAGCAAGCAAACAAAACTGATGTTTAAGCAGCCTGATTAAAATGTCTCTTTTCACTTGATTGTTCCTAAATCCTGTTTCTTGTGATTTTTGTATAGGTTAAGTGGCTCTTCAGGGGGGTCTGGAACATAGTTTGAGCTGGTTACAGTTAGCTGGTGAGAACCCCAGCAAAAGAGAGTGTGTAAATTCCTTCCTCTAACCTTGATTGCTTAATCCCTTTTATTAAAGAATCACAAGATTAGATTCAGAGCTGTCATTAATCATCACCTATGGACATCGCAGATGTCTTAATCCCACTTGTTCTTCATTTACTGTTGTGTTTACAGAGCAGAAATGGAATATAAAAAATAGTTTCACTTTCCTTTCCCTTGGAGACACATCAACCTTCCTGATACAGTGATTATTTGTCAGTACCCCCAGCTTCTTGGAGAACATAAGTGCTGTTTGTTATGGGCAACACAAGTGACAGAGGGCCTCAGTCCCGTATAGAGGGACCATGTTCAGACCCTACAAAGTGACCTTGTTAGGTCATTAAGCTAAATTGGTGCAAATCCCTAACTTGGTGCCACCACTCAACCTCACTTAACTTTATTCCTATCAGTTTCATTTAAGCTGATAATTTATCACACTAAATAGTCTAAACTGGAATTTACAGAGATGGTTTACACTTGAAATTAAGCACATTTTAAAATGACTTAGATAGTAACAGCTAACAAAATAGTAGAAAGCAAGCCAAGTGCAACATTCACCTAAGATTTAATACCAAAAGCTGTTTTTCTGTCTTCGTTCTGCTGCAAATCAAACTGGACTATTTTTGCAATGGGCAAAATGAAACTGGGTTAGACATTACACATGGCACGGGCTACAAGAAATGCTAAAATAAACCTTTGCTACCTGAAATAAAAATTAAATGTATATTTAAACCTGGATTATGACAAACCCACTTTCGGGGTGCCAAAATATTTCTCAGTCACACACTTTTAGCTTAATTAGTATCAATATGAGTAAAAATTGTGGTCTAGCATAGACCTCATGCCAGAAGTTGAGAAAATACTCTGTATTGTATAAAGCCAGTATAAATACATTTGGTAATGAAGTCAGATTTTGTTAGAACATTTTCAAGTGAATTAGATAATTTTGTCAAACTATTTAAATGTCTTAGCAAACCATTTGGAAAATTGACTGCTGCACTTGGTATTGACTTTGGCAAAGGGTGGTATAACAGAGGGCTTTTTTTAAAGAAGAAGAAAACCCCTTTAAATCAAATTCGGACTCTTATGTCAAACTGGAGTACACTATTTGTACTCTGCTTCATGTAGTTTTTGGCATCGTGCATATTTGATGACTCAGTAATTAGATTTCTTGATAGTGATCATTTGGTTCATTCCACAGACTGAAACTATGCAATCCAGGCTTGTCATCGGGCTGATTCACAGTATAGAAATTCTTTGCATTTACTTAAACATGAATGCTGAGACAGCTGACAAATGAGGCAAAACATTCTGTGTGTGCCAGAAAGCAGCTAATATGAAGGAAGGCAGTGGTGGGTGTTTCTTTCCTATTGTAGGCCATATATATTTCATGTGAGTAATGGCATACTGCTATGAACTGGCAAAAGCGTAACAGTTCTACAATTCAGTGGCTCCAAATATTAGATTATTAAGTGATTTTGCCCAGTTAACTGGATGAATGCCTTAAACAAAACTGTGCAAAATGAAATTCGAGGCCTATTAGTTCACACTAAGTTTTTCTACTTGCAATTGAAATGTCATGCGTGGGCTTTATTTCAGCAGTCATTAATAATGTAAGCATAAACAATTAGAGACAGCAAAAAGGATCTTGGACTGGGTATGACGATGCTGAATGTGGATTATTTTGAGTTTAAAAAAGGATATTTGAGATGCTGAAAAATTCCGCGTAATTATGTCATGAAACTAGATAGCCTGTTTTAAAATAACTACTCAGAAATACATGCCACTCTCCATTTTCTGATGGTTGGTTCACGGTTAGAAATCCGTTATCGTTTCACTCTTACGTTTTGTCATAGGATATTAACTATGGTGTTTCTGCAAAGACTCTACATTACGTAGGTGTATAGGCACTGAGATGATAATCAGCACTGTTGTCTCCTCTGAGAAAGAATAGTGACTGCACTAGACCTGAAAACAGCAGACATCAACGGTGGCGTCACCTCTGGTCTAAGCAAATGCTCAAAATGCTGTAGCAGGAGCGCAGTGAGAAACTCAGCTCACTCAAGCATGGTGTTTCTGGAAGGGAGACATGAAGGGCACCAAGAATTTATCAGTAAGCTTCAGGCCCCTCAAACTGGAAGACTGTTGCCCTCAGTCTGGTCAAGTCTTTGCTTTCATTTCTTATGAACTTCACCTGGATGTGAAGTGCCTCAGAAACAAATCCACCTCCCTGAGAGCTTATTAAATCCTTCCCATAGTATATATCCCTACTTCACTTTATTCTTCGCTGGAATTTTTTGCCTTAACTCCCCTGGGAACCAACTCCAAGGGGGAACAGCTGAGCAGCACACTGGGGAGCACTGGGAGGAAAGGATCCTACTCCTCCAGGCTCAAGTAGTCCCATTCTGCTCATGGATTACCTTCACCCTGGACTGTCTCTATTCCTCCTATTTGTGCTCACTGCCTTCTCCACTACAGAAAGCTTTGTATGTACCTAGTGTAATTTCCATCTAAATAGCATTCCCAATGCCTTCTGTTGCCCATGACTCCGCCATGGGCATGTGTCTGCCAACAGGAAATACAAAGCTGGGAATGCGGGTGGCAGGGCAGGGAAGGAAAAGGGCTGGGCATAGGCATCTTATGTGACAGGGACAGGATGAGTCCATTCCTGTGAGCATCACACACTGGGAGGGAGCACTGGTACCTGCTACTGGCATAGGTCAAAAGAGATGGCTGACTGAGGAACAGGGTACAGAAGCTAAGGTTGTTACAAGGGGGATGGGTCAGTGACAGGACTAGGATGGGAAAACTCTACATTCAGTTGCTGTATTCAGTAAAGAACCCCAAAGTATTTTTAGGAATGAAAATCCCTGAATCTCTCTGTATCGCAGGTTCCCATCAGTAAAGCCAAATCAGAGTCCCCTCCCTGTCCCAGGTGCTGGGAAATAATACTGTAAGTTTGATGTTTAATTTACATGAGGCTAGGTGCCAAAAAAAGCCTGACCAAAAAGATTAGAGCATAATTTTGTGGCTTACAGAGATTCTTTACTGTTGAGACGTTATGATATCCTTGAGCAAATGGTACTCTAGAAATGTGAAATACCGTAGCAATGCAATGCAATCCATACTGTAGCAACAGAATCTATGTATCAGAGTGATAATACACTCTTCCCTACTTAGGATCTCGCTGATTAACGCCCACTGTTGAGAAATGTGTTACAGAAAATCTTATCAGAGAGCAAGGAAGTGAGAAAACTTGCTGCTCTGACACTAAGTCTTACTAAGGTGAACACTGCCTTATTCCTGAGTCATGGTCTGGGGGTTTCCCCTTTGAGAGAGTTCTCCTTTGAGCTGAGAAAAATTATCTGCACCTATCCAAACCTGTCAGAAGTCACCAAGGAAGAATAAAGAAAAAACAGAACCTAAATGCAATTGCATGCTATGGAGAAACAAGGCCAAAGCCCTGAATAACCTGATAATAAAGTCAAAGTTTGCTCTGCTTTGCACAGAGGATGGATGACGTGACCTTCTGAGGTTTCTTTAAAACTAGATTATTCTGATTCTAAACCAAACAGAATCAGTTTGGGCCAGTGTTTTCCATTGGAACAGCATCCATACGAAGTAAAATACACAATTAATTATTCATTATCATCTTTCACACACATACCCATCCCTGGCACTCTCCAACGGTGACTGGTGGTGATGTGGGCTGGAAAGGGTAGAGTCGAGTGGATGCTGTCTTGAAGGGATGTCGTGAGGAGGTGGCAATATACCTGGTGAGGGACCGTTATGGTTAGCGCTGGAGCCACTGTACATGCCTGTGAACACACAGCATATTGCAAAATCAAATAAGCAAGAAAACATCCAAATAAGTCCTGGAGAGTCCCCAGCTCCTTCCCTGTTCCTCCACCTGACCCCGAGACACACACACAGCAGCCCGCTTTGGCTGGGGGAGTCACCTGCATGGTGCCCCGTATGTCAGTGAGTCCTGCTGTGCTTGGAACAGCACTCAAAGTTGTACCGAGGCGTTTTGACATGCGTCTCTCCTGCAGCCCTCAGGTGGTCCGCTTCTTCCTTGCTCTGACTGCAGACCTGTAAGCGCTCCTCCTGCCAGCCAGCAGGACTTGGCAGGACTCCCACCCTGCCCTTACACCACTTCTGAGTGAGAACCTGCCGTGCTCAGTTGTTTGCAGCATGATGGAGCTCATTTGACAGCAGAGCGGTACCTGATACCAACATCACATCAGACCCTGAACTCAGAGCACTGTGTTTGCATAAGGGGGGGGGCAGGACCTGGGTTTTGGGGTTGTTTTTTTTTGTTGGTAATTTCAAACTTTTTAACTTGACTTTCAAGCAGGAGAAATTTGTAGTGAGACCATGAAAACAAAAGGTTTACACAGAGGTACTGAAGGATGTTAATGTTCCATTTTGGGGTGTACTCTGGCTACTCTCCTCTACCATGGCAGTCAGGCACCAATAGCCAAGTGTCTGCCATGCCCTCAAGTATGCACTTTGTTGAGGAAGGTTTGTCCAGGACTCTTGGATTAAGATTTTTCTTATCATCTCCCTTCTAAAGAGTAAGCCGTGCACTAAGACAGACCTAAGGGATCAGGGCCTTGACACTGACTTTTGGCATGAAGACTGCACTGTGGGCCAGTCTCTGTAATGAGGGGAGCTCACGGAAGTGCTTGCTGCCTAGAGTTACAAATGCTGTTTGTAAATGCCACCCTATCACAGGGGGAAAACAGGACTGCCTCCTGGTCGACACAAGTCTTGACAAAACCTAGCCTGTCTTTTCTCTATTTCTCCTCCCTTCTCCTCCTGTTCTTAAAGCTTGCCTACAATGTACCTCCCAGTGTTTTGGCCAGGGAATCTGCACACAGTGGAGGAATGGAGCAAGCACTCACATTGTATTCTGAAGGCTGTAGGGAGCAAATGAAGTTTGCTGTCCTGTAGTGTGAAGCTATACAGCACAGATGACCCCATACCCTCTCTGAGGTCTGCATTCTCTCCCCCTGTAGCACCCATCTTTCCCGTTACACTGCAAGCAGAACTACACATTCAGGAAGCTGTGTGTCAGCTCTGCTGGCTACGTCCCATGTCACTGACAGGGTTCTGGATGGCACTTCCCCCAAACCTCGCAGTGACATGGAACAACCAGAAGACAACATGAAAATCTGGAGCTGTGGGGAATGTGTGAGAGCCCTCTGGGCAGATAAGCAACGGCTGAAGGTCAGCATCTGTTTCTGAAGAGCAGATCCACTAAGGCAAGATTCCAGCCACCTTTGTCAGGGACTTAGGATGAGTCAAAAGCCTCTCATGAACAATGAGTCCTCAGCTGTTGGACAGATCTAAAGCAACAAAAATGAACCACATCATCTCCGTCTCCCACGAGACAGAACATTTGTCAATCAGCCAGTGAAACCAAGTTGCTTTCTGCACCAAAAGCCCGACAGAAGGGGCTTTAAGAAGTCAGATGTTCCCAGGTGATGCTAGGATTTATTTGTCAAACCCTCTTTTGAGAACAGTAAGTCAGTAGCTAGGATGCTATGTTGTAAAAATGGCATTTTTCTACTGGTGGCTTTGGTCCATTTTATAATACAATAATTTCCACTCCCCCAGATCCTCACTGTTCATACATTCATTATCAGGCTTGGAGGATGAGCCAAATACCAATTTGACCTTGTCTGTACTGTGTCATTTCACACTTCAGCTGCATCTCCTACAACACACAGTGCAGGTATATTGGCAGCACAGCCCGAAGGAAACTGCTGAACCTAAAACAAGATGTTTGTGCTCTCTAAGGCTGGCAGACGGTTACTGGCCCCTGTCAATAACTCACACAAAAAGCTCAAAACCCCTCAGAAGGTAGTTTTAGCAGTGTGGTGGCCAGTAAACACACTCCAATGGTTTACCTTACATTCCCACCCAGAACAGTTCACGAACGTTAAAGGTATCTCTCCTGGCCCATTCCTTAGTGTTGCAGCTATTGAGCACAGTGCAATTCTTTGCTTGAGGTAGATGAGAAAAAGTAGCAGAGCACTTACAATCAGCATACTCCTCTAGAGAAGCAAGAAGATGTTAAACACCCCCCCCCATCCAGATGTCCAGGAGCCAAGTCCTGCATGATCCCATGCACTCAAAGCCTCCTCATCAGAAAACCAAATGAAACCATAATCCCTGTCACCCCTAGTTTCTGTCATACCCAGCCACTATGCAGAGGAGTTCACCCATCTGCCCACTGTTGGCTCTGAAGAGTAATGCTTGGACCTCCTCTCCTGGATAAAGCAGGGTTTCTCCCATCTACCCTGAATCTATCCAACTTTTGACTTACTGATCACACCTCCTCTGGAAAAGGTCCCTGCTTGGAGCATGTGTGTGCTGCGGCTTGCAGGGTTTGTTCATCAGTGACTTTTCCTCTTCCTACATCTTTTACTTACCACAATGCCTTCACTCACGCTCAGTTTGACACATGGAGTCTCTTGTTCTCACATCCCCTCACCCCCCTTCCACACCGCAGCTTGTGCAGCCTCACCCCAGAAGCTGCCGGCTCCCCTTGCACTGACACCCCTCTCCATAGCATCACCCAATCAACAGCCGGCCACAAGATGAGGGTAAATCCAGCTGGCCCCTGTGACACTGCCAGATGTGGTGCTCCACGTGTGCTGCCTGCTGCCAAGCAGCGTGTGTCACAGCTGAGCCTCTCCCGCGGCGGGAGCACTGATTTTGGGTGCCACTCTCTGGTAGCCAGCTGCCAGTACTCATGAAGCTTGTCAGAAGGCAGTTATCTGTGAGGAATTTGTCAAATGCTGCTGAGCTTGGCTCAGGGGTTTCAAAAGGGACTGTGGGGCAGGGGGGTGACACACATGTGGGCAGAGAGGGGAGCAGAATGATTGCATCGGCCGTGCTTCCTAAGGAACTGAGACCAAACCCGGATCCGACGTGTATGGTGTGTGTCCCTCAGGGACAGGGCTAGCGGGGGAATGGGGGAGCTGGCATCAGACAGTGTGCTCCTGGGCTGGGTGGTGAGGCTCTGAGACTGCACAGCTTACCATTTGGGTGAGGGCTGCACCCACCCCTGAAGCTTCTGGATGGAGAGAAAGCCAAAACACGAGCCAACACAGACAAAGAATCAACCCTATTGTTCACTTGCTTCGCTTGCAAGGGGAGTCTGCCTGTAATTAAGAGTGCTTTGAGGGCCGTGTGGCACACACAATGGAAGATGGGGTTCACTATGCGATTCCATGTGAGTCTGCAATGAGACATTAGTCATTTCTGTTGAGTCACTGAGAACCACACTGGTACTTACTTGAAGTTAAAAGTTATCTCTTACACAGTGCAAAAGAAGGGCACTCCAACAGAACATTAACGTCCCTCAGAGGGACAGACCTCGCTGTGGTCATGGCACTGTGCAGGGCGCTGTTCTTGGCGCTGTGAATGCTATCAGCTCTCAGTCATTTATGCTGCCACTGGAATTCATTTTGACATGTTTTTATTGCAGACTTCAGGCCCTCGAAGTCTGGAGCTGCTGTCACTGATTCCGTGTCTACCCAATGGTGTGTTCGTGGGTGTTAAGCTCAAAGATGGTGCTTTAAGAAGGACATATTAGCAGTGGCTGCTTATCAGGAAAGAGAGGGTGAGCTGCCTCATTCAGGGAGGCAGGAGGTATCTGCTGCTATGAGGGTGTGTGATGTCCTCCCCACTGCCAAGCCTTAACAGAAAGGTTTTGTTTGAGGGGAGAGAAATGCTGTCTTTAATGAAGATCCCATTTCCCCTTTGAGGAAATGAGGTGCCTCTACAATGGAATAAGTGAAGGAGAGAAGAGCAGTTGCAATTCCAGCCTCAGCATAATTTTCAATACTTCTGCTTTGGCTCCTTTTACAGTTTTTCTACCTTTTTTTCAGCAGTGAGCTATAATATTCTGAGTACCAGACGTCAAACAGAAGCCTTTGGAGCTGTTAGGAATGACTGTTTCTGCAAGTACAACCCACTTCAGGACTGTGCACCTTGGGCCTCTTCATGCATTGACCATCTTAGCTTGTAAATATATGTCATCAATCAATATTTTAAATGGCTTGGCCTTTAACCTTAACATCTGCTGCCAAAGCAGTACTCCGGCATCTGTGACAAGCAGCCTTTTCTTAACCCAGCTTTATGCTAACTGAGACCAGAAAAACAATAATAAAACATGCCCAGAGAAAATGCCCAAGTGGAATTACCTCAATGGAGACACTTCCTCTGCAGGGAAAGCGACACGAGCGCACAGCTAGAGCTGAATGTTCGCAGCCATGAAGAATCTTACTTATGAGGAGGGAAAAAAGAGGAAGTTCTAAGGAAACAATGGGTTCTTCTGGCTGCAAAACATTCTTTTGCTCACTGTCTTACCCTAAGCACAAACCTGCTTTGAAGTCAGGCACAAGGGATGGGAGCTTTTGAAATATTTCACTTTTCCTGGGATTGGTTTTCATCCCTGACATATTTAAAATGTGCTTTAACTTGGAGAAAGACAAAACTGAAACTCTCCAGGAATCCAAGTGATCCCTAAAGCCCAGAGCTCTGCACATTAATAATGTGGTTTCTTGGGGAGGGGAGGGGAAAAGAAACCAACCCAAAACTCAAAACAAAAACCCCAAACCATGAACATTTTCGTATTTCCAAGTGGAATCAAGAGGACATCATACGCTGTACTTAGCCATGAATATCCTGTACAGAATACTGGAGCTGATTTCTCCAGGAATATTAGCTCTGATTGTCTGAAAGGGCAAATATGCAACCATTGCAGACAGTGGCTGCAGAGGTGGCAGCAGGAATGTCCTTATGGTTTAATTCTGTAAGGAGCAGCACTTTAGTTTATGTACCCTAAATTATGACAGAGGAACAGGTTTGCCTATGGAATTGTACTACACATAGTAGGAAGAAACTTCTGTTTCGCTGTAAAACAGTATTTCAAATCTTGATTTATTTTCCCTGGCACTTCTTCATACCGTGCATGTGATGGGGTCTCATATGGGGTGACCCAATGGAAGCATTGGGGAAGAATTACTGGGTTTTTTACAACATCCTGGTGATGGATTGATGTAATCAGCAAAGAAATTGTATCAGAGAAGAGCAGTGTTAGTGATAGACAAAAGCTTTCATTTCACAAGAGGTTCTTGGAGATGACACTGAGAGGTTAGGGGTGGTCTGTTTATCTGCAAGCAAATAACTTCTTCCCTGTTTTATTGTCGTCACTTGAAATCTGAGGCTATTTCTGAGGTTCTTAAGTGAAGCCTGTTCTGAGGGAAACATCCCTGGTCTGGCCTGTCCTGCCTGGAAGTGAGAGGCCAAGCCATGGCGAGGGTGGAGAGCAGAGACCTCGTGCTGCCCTCACAGACCTCAAGAGTGCAGATGACAGCGGTAGAGAAGGGAAAGAATCCCCCCAAGTCCCTCCAGCTTTCTGCCACTTTTCAAGGAGCCACATATAGACCGTGAGTGCAGGCTCCCAAGGGAACAACGTTGGGAGAATGATGGGTTGTTTCCCTTTCTCCTCCATTCTGTTCACCAGTTACATTCCAACATTTTAGCACAACTTGAACTAGAAAGGAGAACGGATGTCAAGCAGGATGCATTTCTTGGGTTAGTTTTTAAGGTCTTGCCTAAGTAATGTTTAGTACTTTATTGCTTTGCTCTTTCAAAGCAAAATACATTTAATAAAGTGCATCAGTTCTTCCCTTGGTGAAGAGGAACCAGCACCAGGCACTTTTGTTTTCTAATCCCAGTTTACCATTGGATTTCAATAAGCCTCAATAGAAACAAGCCAGGGTTTCGCTGGAAAGCTTGTACTCAGTTACTAAATCAATTTAAAACTTATTTAGCAATAGCAAGTCAAGCCTCTCCTCACAGTGGAATTGAAAGAGGATAAAGTCCTCTCAAATCAAGGTTAATTTAGCTCTGAATTAAATAATTGTATGAATAATGTTGGATTTTAATAGCACTGAACTTTTCCAATATTGACCAAGTTTGAAAGAAAAGTCTTCAAAAATGCCATCCCTGCACTTTTGTGTCTCACCTTGGCTCTGGTCTGCAATCTGAAGACTTTGCCCTATGAGGAAAGCCTGAGAGAGCTGGGCTTGTTCAGCCTGGAGAAGACAAGGCTCTGGGGAGACCTTATTGTGGCCTTCCAGTGTATAAATGGGGACTGTAAGAAAGATGGGGACAAGCTTTTTAGCAGGGCCTGTTGCGATAGGACAAGGGGTGATGGTTTTAAACTGAAAGAGGAGAGATTCAGACTTGATGCAAGGAAGAAATCTTTTACAATGAGGGTGCTGAGGTGCTGGCACAGGGTGCCCAGAGAAGCTGTGGCTGCCCCATCCCTGGCAGTGTTCAAGGCCAGGCTGGACAGGGCTTGGAGCAAGCTGCTCTAGTGGAAGGTGTCCCTGCCCGTGGCAGGGGTTGGAACTGGATGAGCTTTAAGGTCCCTTCCAACCCAAACAATTCTGTGATTTTATGATTCAAACTGTCCTCCACTTTTAGGCAGAGCATGCGGTATACCAGCCTCCAAGTTCCTTGTCCCCAGATTAGGAACAGTCTGTCCAAAACTTAGTATGCATTATTAGTTAAACAGTGAGAGAAGGAAAATGTGATTAATAAATGTTACATCTTTTTTCCTGGAGATTCTCTACAGTCCATACAATGTGCAAGGTATAAAATGCCACCATCCATCCATCCATCCATCCCATTTCCAATGTGCAGCTGTCATTAAAAAATGAGTTAAAAATAGAGGGATGCATCTGGAACATGAGAGAGAATCACCCAAGAAAACACAGTGACAGCTTCTTCATCAAGTGAATGGTGCAGTCTGGAGTTTCGTGCATAGTATTGGTTACCCATCCCAAAATGGATATTACAGAGTTAGAGAAGTTTCAAAGGCAGTAACATGAATGGTTCTCTAAAAGCAGGTTCCACAAAGCAGACCAAGTAACTGTCTATGTGCATATTTTTCTCATGGAACATCATCTGAAAGTTGCATGTTCAAAATTAATCAAGAAAAGTAAAAGCCCCCCCTCCCCAAAATAAGGGCTCTGTAACTCAGTGATTGATAGATGATGTTGCTGAAGGCAAGAATAAGTATGAAAATCAGAAAAGGGGATAAATAGTTATATGGACAGAAAGAGATTTGAGAGTGAAAACACCTAAATGAAACGTTCCTCACACTAATCTCTACAATCAGTGGAGGGATACGAGTGCCTTTACAAGGTGAGGCAGATCACATTAAATTCATGGCCTTTGAGAGTTCCTCTTTCTCTCAGCTGGCTAAACAAAGAACCTGAGATTGCTACATCCCCGATTTGGGAGCCTCCACTGAGGTTCAGAAGTTGCGAACCTAGATGTTATTTTCTGCAGAAGGGAATGGAAGCATCTTTTCTCTTCCTGTAAGATGTATGGAACTGCCTAAGGTCCCTGAAAGGGGCCAGCTCTTGTTCAACCCACAAGAAAGAAAAGACAGACAAGAAGGAATGAAAGAAAGATTAAATACTAGAAAAGATAATTGAACCAGCATGTCTGACATTTCACATTCAAGCTTTGCTCCATTCATACATCACCATATTATTTGTTACAACCACACAGTGCATGATAATACACAGCCTCATCAACTTTTCTGCAGCTCCTGAAGAGCTGAAAACCCTTATGGCTGCTTGCCTTTGTCTTTGCTAGAGCACTCGTTTGGCTTCAGGAAAGCTCACGCACCTGCACTCTGCTCAAGCCAAGGCAAACTTCTAAATGGACAGAGGCTGACCTTCAGCAGGGCTGCTACACCCCTCATATGAAATTAATAGGAGCCATTTGGCTGACTCACTCTGCTAAAAAAACCACTCAGGCCTTAGTAAACAACTCCCAAATTAGTTAATTTTATTTCCTGGGTTGGGTTGGGGTTTTTTTCATCTTCTATAGCGGCAAATCAGACCCAAAAGCTTTTCTGGTTTAGATCCTCTATTACATGACGTATTTAACACCATACGCATTTGAAGTATTCTTACCTGTAATTAAATCATGATGACCTACAGATCTACCACACTTGCCATCCAAAATGTGTTGTGAAGATGTGTGGAGCTGTTGCATAGCTAAGCATTCACTTAGTACATCTTGCTCAATGTCGGTACAGGAATTTAGCTACAAGAGGAGGATAAAACAAAACATTTTATTCCAATGTAAATCAAATTACTTTTAATTAAATTAATATCTCTTTCTGCTTAAAGATTTGTATAGAAGGAAGGAATAAAATGTCATTCTTAGGAACTCGGTGTAATTACTTAGCATTTTCAATTAGAGATAATTTGGGTTTTTTCAAGTGCAGAAGTTAAATGTGCTAATCTGAAATCAGCAACAGTTTGCTTCAGAAAATGACGTCCCCTGTGTTTCTTCAACCCTTCCCGAGCAATCTAACTTCATATTTTCAAGCTTTCCGTAGTTCCTTGGGTTCTGTGGCAAAAGGATTGCCTCACCTTGTAACTGTGACACTTGGAAAGACAGCTGATAGGGAAAGAAAAGCGCTTGTGCTTATCAGATTAGGACTGGCGGAATAATGCGCTGTCAGTAACGGGTAGGAGGTATCACCGATACATCAGCTGTGCTCCATGTAAATGAAAGCTCTGGCACAAGTGTCTGAAGCAAACTCTTGCAAACCACAACGTCGATCATATTAAAACCAGCAGGAGAGGAGAATTAAGAAAGAAAAGCATTTCTAATTCTCTTTCAAACATGCTGATGTTGCCAAGCTTTTGCCATAATATAGTGCTCACATTACACAAACAGCCATCATATTCTATAGCCATTAATAAATAGTTATTGTCTTTGCGTTTACAGTTTTGCATACCGATCTCCCCTGGGTTTGGTTATTCTAAAAGGTCCAGGCAAACCTATTCAGACCTCTGCTGTACAGCCATTTGTTCCTTCAAGATAAACATCTAACTTTTGGATCACAAAGTGCATCTGCAGCCAATTACATTTAAACTACTACTAAATTAACAGCTAACTTTCTCCTATTTTGCTCTTGTAAAGCCTTGCAGAACAACCAAATATTACCACTGCAGTCATCTCCTAAGTTATGAACTAAATACTCAGGATTCCTTTGATGTCAGTGTAAGCTCAGGCATTTTGCTTTGTGTCAGAGGTGGCACATTTTGGTAGCATGTATCAACCAAGTCATGTGGGCAGAGCAGCCAGTTAACTTTTCTGTCTTGGCTAAGCCATTTCCACTGAGAACTCCCAGGAAGCTGATGCCAATGGACAACTGCCTTTGCTGAGTTATAACCAAAAAACAGCCAGTGAGTGTAAACAGCCTGTTCCCCTTTTTCCCTAATCTGAAATCCAAAGAAGACTGTCACTGTTTCAGTAACACTGAGATTTACTTAGCTGTGAAAGGGGCTTTTCCCCATACATTTCAGTGAAATATTGGGGGGGGGAGTGCATGTGTGTGTATTATTTCTTCATGAGTCACATTTGCTTTGGTCCCTTTTAAGGGGATTTTTGCAGTTTAAATCTGCTGCTTTTGCAGATGCCTTTTAAGTTCAAGGGAAAAAGACACAGGATCAAGTACTCATAAAGTTATCATGGATAAATGAGACAGGAAATCTGAAGATGATTTCCAACCACTGGAGGAGTGCAGATTTAGGCTGGTCTACCAAATAAGGTGTGGGAGGCAAGGAACTACCATTATTTTAAGATAGACTTGATAAGTCTATGGGAGGGTGTGTATATGAATGCAGGAAAACTCCTCAAGCTAGGAGATTAAGAAAGATGAAACTCTGGATATTTGATGTCTCAGTACAGGCAAGCAGCTTGAGTTTGCAATCTGTGTGTACCACATTTGTCCTATATGGATTCTGTGCCTAAGACCTCCGCTGTTTATGCAGGAAATACTTCATACAACTTAATGCAAAATTTGGATTTAGTGTTTTTTCTCACCTTCCACCATAGAAGTGGAAATAGAAGTGTCCCTCATCAGGTGACAAGCCTCACAGGGTGTAACACCAGGGACTGTATCTTTGCTCAGATATAAAGGATGTTAACGTGTTAATGCACTCAGCCCAATACCCAGCGCTGAACAAATGATATTCGTGCTAGGTAACAGGAAATAATTCCCTCCTTCCTTCCCCAAGAATATGTCAGGAAGGAAAGATGGGGGGTTCTCTCCTTTGGAATAGGGAGCATGGTTGCTTTCATGCACCTCTTTCTGTGGGCACTTACTGCTATGGCTTTCTGACTCTTTCTCTCACTAAACCCTAAACGCTGCTGTAGGGAAGTGTTGGGAGCTTTGTTGACCTGTGGTGTGGCAGGCATGTGCATAGCAAACCCTGTGGAACCTTCTAAAGTAAAACTACATGGCCTGATAATATAACAGTGGGCTGGCAAACTAGGCAGTCCTGTCCACTCCTGCCAGGCCAAACAGAAGTTCTGACTGGACCCAATATGCAGAGACAACAGATGCATTTCTGTGGACATCTGGATAGGTGCTAGGCGTGAATTACTCCCAGGCACAAAGCTCAGGGAGTAATGGGTGCTTCTTGACTGACTGACTGAAACAGTGTGCACAATGTTGGACATTGATGTTTTAGACGCTGTTACTCAGTCTGCATGCACCTGATGCAGAGCAGGGATTGTGGGGAGGACTGGGGGACCGACAGCTGTCCTAGGAAAGGGGACTGCACGTTCAGGTTGGTGAATCTAGCCAAGTGAAAACTGTAAAAGAGAAGCAGCAGGAGTGTAAGAGAGGGGGCATGGCTGACACAAGGACAAATCACTACGAAGTCACCACAGTTGTATTCAAGCAGGAGAATGAGGTCTTCCTGACATTCCAAAGTCCTCAACTAAGATCACCTGTGTTCTCCTGCTGTCTCTTCCTTCCACATGTTCCTCCCTTTGCTCTCCAGCATTTCTAATTTTCACCTTGGACATTTTTCCAAGCTAGCTGCTCCTAGCTCTGTCCTGACAGGCTGTCATATCTGCTGTCCTCCATCCTTTAAACACCTGCATCCTTTAAACGTGCCTGGCTGTCTCATCTGTGATGCTCTTGGCAGTGGCAAGGCAGCTGGGGGAAGAGGCCATTGCTGCTTATTGAAGTAATCATAATGGTTTACTACGGCCTGGGTTCCCTGCCACTTCTGGGCCTCAAGTATGCTCATGGCTTGTCCCAGACCAGCTCTGTAGGGTCCCAATCATCCTTTTACAAACTGAGTATATAAATGTGTAATAAACAAGTCTCTGATGCCGAGCTGGTGCCTGTGGGCATCCCCATTCAATCATGAGTTCAGGATTTAGGCCACAGAAACCAAAATACTTATTTGAATCTAATACTAGTGAAAACATAACTAGCAGTCTGGGTTTGGAATGATTTATAAATGCATTTGTAATACAGATGTGGTGGGAAAAGTGGAGGTTTTCATTCTCCTCTATTACAAGTGCTCCTTTCCTGACATTTCCATAGTATCCTGGCTTCGTTTCCTTTGTGTTGTAGATGATCTACCAACATGTATTTATTAGCTGATGGCAGAGACCCAATGCATGGACATTTTACGTGAATGACAGCAGAATTTGGGCTTGTGTATGTAAGATGAATAGGAAAGAAATGCAGACCAAACTCTAAGTTGGGTGGTAGCCTTGAAGGTGCAGCAGGATAAGGTGGACTGGTTAACAGCAGGAATTGCAACCCAACAGGAAGATGAACTCAACTGAAATTTTCCTTTAGCAATATTCCAGAAGAACTCCGATTTGGAAGTACATGAACTAAAGGTAAGTTAAACATAACTGCATGGAGGAGATGTGTGATGTTTCACCTCCTCCTGGTCTTACCTTCTTACGCACCTGCTGCTCTTTGGCAGAATGAGCTTTCACGTGCTTGCGCAGGGAGCTGGGGTCGGTGTAGCGTTTGGAGCAGCCAGGAATCTGACAGGCATAGGGCTTCTGTAAACGTGAGCAAAGGGAAAAGAGTTCACATTCCTCTGCATGTCTGCAGTCAGCACACGGAGCTGAGGGACGGCTGGGTCTGTGCAACACAGTGTTAAGCCTGAGCTGTTTGCTCTGCTGTTTCCACGTTTGCTCTGTCTCCACTTTGCACACAAGCCTGACATGATGCAAATAGAAGCACATTGAGAGCTCTGATTTTGCACTCTGTGCAGGCACTGAGAGCGCTTGACACATCGATACTCTGGCATGTTGGGTATAGATTACTGGGCTGGATTAGATGCTAATGAGCTGTAACCCAATGGGGTTTTCCCTAGCATTTAAAGTAGACAAAATGATCCTCAGATTACCCAGTGCCATTATAAATACAGAAGCTCTGGGTTTGAGTCCTGATTTACATAGTTTTTACAGTGTTCCATATACAGCAGAACAAAACTTGTGGCATGGCACATTTGATTGCCTTCATACCTTGTTCCTGTTTTGAATAACAACAGCAATGTTTTTCTTTTTATAACTCCTAACCAAACAACCTGCATCAAACATTAACATCTGAGCAAATCAATACAGAAAGAAAAACCCACTGTTGTTGATACTGTTGGGAAGAACTTCCCAGCTGGTTTTGGCATGGAGCAGAGCTTGCTGCTTTTGTGTGTAGGAGCAGTATTGAGCACTACCTCCTGGGAAAGCCATCTGAGTCTGGGCGGGCAGTTCCAGTGCTCTCCTCTCATAGGAAAATGAATAAATAAATGAATAAGGATGCTCCAGTTTAACCGCTGGTTCTGGGGTCCCAATGACTGAAAGCCTCACCAAGTTCTAGTCATGCCTATTCCCAACACATGAGACATCATCTCTGTGTTACAGAATAACCTACAAATGGATGTGCAATTTCCAAGTTAAGCAAAAGGACTCTGGTGCTTGTTATAAAGTAACCATTGACTTCAGTGTAGGAAAGAGTGCTGCAGGTCAGAGCTCACAGAGGTTTAAAGTTGAGCAGAACGTTCATTTCTATTCTGTTTCTTTGCCTCATCTGTCAGCACTACCCTAGCCTGCTCACTTGGACCAGTGAGACCTTTCGGTGTCTTCTCAATGGTAGAGAACCGGTTTGTCAGGACCTCAGTGTCACACTCTTCGATCCTCCTTGGTTTCAGCCAGAGGATGCACAAAGGGAAATAAAACCCCACAGGTTTTGGGAGAAGCGACTGTGAGGTCCTTTAAACGACTTCCTCTGCTCCTGGAGGGGTGACGACATGCCCTTGTTACCACAGGGACACATAGGTTCTCTTTGTTCTGGAGAAGGATCTACTTCCACATGATTTAGTAGAGATTCGATCAAACTACACCAGTAAGTCTCTGAAATGATTTACAGATTCTCCTTTTGGACAAGATGAATGATGGGGTGACCTACACTGAGAAGCTTCAGAACCAATTCCAAATGCCCTCAATAAGGAATAAGCAGTCTATATAAACCCCTTTTCTTTGTGAGTACCTCCAGAGGATAAGTGTTGCTGCTCTGTCCAGCCAGCAGGAAATTTCTGAAGGAATAATAGAATCATTCACCAACTCATGACCTTACAGGCTAACACAGCACCTACCCAGAAAGTTACAGGGAAAAGCAGATTTATTGGGAGTGTCTGGAGCACAGAGAACTGACACCTGAGGAAAAACTATGGAAAACCTTAACAAATCCCTTAGCAGAGAAACTAGCAGAGTATCTTTTAAATCATTGAGGTCATTCAGATATTAGTGATAGAATCATTTGGTTTAGTGATAGGGAAACGAGGTGAAAATCTGACTGCCCTGGAAAAGCTTCATGGCTGTTTGCTTTGACATTGCCGGCTGTTATGTTGTCCCCTGAGCTAATGGAACGTGCAGTCTGTACAGCAGCACCATCCCATAGCTCTGTCACTTCTAACATTCACATAAGCACACAACACACTACGTTAGGCCTCAGGACTTCATTCCACCGGGTAAGAAGAAGTTAGTAACTCTGTTGTAGGACCACAGAAAGAGTTCTAAAGAACCTGCAGCAGAACAGCATGGAGGGTATGTTTAGACATTTGGCAAAGTTAGTAGAAAATGATTACTGTACCTTTTTCCTGCTTTATGAGCATTTCAGATAATAAAGACAAAGGGAGAAGAAAAGAAAACAGCAAGTTAAGAGATTTGCCTTCAGTAACGCACAGAACAACAGATATAAGAATTCTTGCTTATTTTAGTAACCCCTTGAATTCTCTTTCAGAACTAATAAATGGCATTTTACTTGTGACTTTGGCTAATAAAAATTCCATCTATTCGATTCAGGCAGTTCCCTTTCAAAACTGCACCCGATTCCCTGCATCCGCTTTCAAAACAGACGCGTTTGAGAGCTAATTACAAATGCAAATATCTCAGGTTGACTTTCAAATAAATAAAACATTGTTATTGTAAGTGTGCTTTGGGTTGGAAAATGTGACTGACTCGCTTCTCTTACTTGTTTGTTTTTGCAAGGCATAATGTACATTAGACATTCCTTAATGCTGCACTGTCTGAAATGTGTAGCTGCTTAAAAAGTAAATATCAATTAAACTCAAAAGTTCTGCCCCATAAGCACTTGGCCAAACATTAAACCATATAGTCACTCCTTTGCAAAAGACAAAGGAACACCTCTGCCTGTTATTCTTTACAAGCTCTATGCTGAGGACTTACTTAACTGCTTTGCAAAGTTGCCCACGGACTTTCTTTCACCATAATACGGTGATTTAATCTTACTGGAGCCTCAGACACCAGACAGGCTCCCGTGTTCTCTGCAAGACAAGTGAGACTTGTAGAGTTGAGGCAGAACCTACCAATTTTACATCAGGATTTGTTTCTTACAGTTAAGATTTGGTTTCTTACAGTTAATTTGTACAGTTTCCTATGTACAAATTTCACATAGTTATCAGAGAGACGTTTTTTACCTTTACAAAATTATGTCCAAAACTGCGATGCATTTACCTTCCATGAGACATCTGAGCTGCTTTTGTGTTCAGTCAGAACAGACTCTACTGAAGCAACACAGGACAGGAAGCAAGACAATGACACACATTCCATACAGCAGCAGTGACTCAGCTTTCACTCACGCTGTACCTTACTCTACTGCTGCCTCCTCTTACCGGAACAAGAGCAATAGGAGAGTTTGCTGAGTAACTTATCCCGAGTAACTTGTTCCTCAGCATGAGTAAGCCAGCTGAATTTGCCTTTCTGTGATCAAAACCTCCTCAAAGCACATGCAGTTAAACAGAAAAGTACAGCTGCCTGTAGCTGATGCTCCTCATGAAAAGGAAAAGTCACCCTCCAGTTGCAGAACAGGTTGTGTACAAGGAGCATTGGAAAACTCAGAGCAGCTCCCAGTCTGAAACCATGCTTACGGTATCCAGGTGTGTTCGCTGATGCTTTGCCCGGTCACTGGAGTTGCTGAAAGCTTTCTGGCAGCCGGGATGCTGACACAGGTATGGCTTCTCCCCAGTGTGGCTCCGGAGGTGAATCTTAAGGTTCTCAAGCCTAGAAAATGCCTTGTTGCACCCTTCAAACTGAAAAACGTCATAAAAAGTCATTGTAAAGTACTATTAAATAAACCATGCGCAGCCACAATGAGAACAGTGTAAGATCCAAGTTGGACATGCAATAAATCAACCAACATTCAAACATCTGTTGAAATCTATGGATGAAACACAACATTTTGTGCTGTTCATTTAATTTGTCACTGAAGACATGGTGTGTAGCTCAGTAATAATACAAGGGCTATAAATATCTCACATGTTCTGTCTGAAGTACCAAACGCTTAAAGACATGGTGTCAGAACAGGAGATTTCAAGAAAGAACAAGTGTTGTGACGAGTTCTCTTAGATGTTGACTGGCACAGGAACCCCTGTGGGCAGTAACAATCAGCTGCTGCAGACTGAGAGGAGCAGAAGCTGTTTGTGGCGGATTAGAACCTGGTTTCAGATGTCTGAAATACTATACAGTGGAGCAGATGAGCACGGACTATTACAAGAAGACCTGATCCATTTGAAGAGCAATCTAAAAGAGCTCTGCTGTTATTCTGCACCCTTTTCTTTACCAGCTGTATCATTCAGATCTGCTCTCAGCATTTATACAACGAGTAACCTGAGCAATTCTGAGTTCTTAAGCACCCGTTTCATTAGTAATAAAGTGCTGCATGGCATTCATAACAAAAGTAGCTGTTTCAAATTAAATCTGAATAAATAAATAACATTTCCAGCTACTAGGCTGAGGGAAGGGTGTTTTGCATTGCTCCCTGACAAGTTTCAGTGAAGGCACTATCCTAGGGTGGGCTTTGGGAGCTAACAGGTGAAAACAAATACATGTGAATGCACTTTGATGCGCCAGCAAGCCCATAAGATGCACCCAGGCACTTACACATGTGTATAAATACTCATATGCACACGTAATCAAGTGCCATGGTATGCACATACTTTGCCCACTCTGCTTTGCAGCTTCATGACATGGTGGATCTTCTAGTGTCTCTAGACAGATAGAAACCTGGCTGCTCTCTGATTTGAGATCTCAAAGAATGCATTAGAGAAACAAAGGCCAATTCACATCAACGCTAACAACTTTGAAAGAAAATAGGTGTATCTTAAAGTGTATCTTAAACCCACTGTTCCTTGAGGCCAGATTTTCTTGTATGATTCTTGTTCATGAGTGAATTCCTGACCTTCATAAAATTAGGGCTTTGTCACTTCCTTCTGCTGAGTCAAGGTTTTGTTCAGCAGCTTAGCACTCGCTGCTGTGGTTCTTCAGATGGCATCACAGAAACCACTGCTTTGCCAATCCCCATCACACTCTTTTTTGTGACACAAACACCTCATATACACTGGTGTGTGCAAGCTCCTGACTTAGCTATTGCATCCAGCACTGCAGGCAGTGAGAAGGGAGAGCAGATGCAGATGGAATCTAGAAGATGCTGTGAACTGGAGGCACCTGAACTCCTGGTGCTATTTAAATGAATGATGGAGAAAGGTCCATCATACCCTGCTACATTTTGCAGGCTACATATTCTGTCTTTGGTTGGAGATCAGCTCTGCAAACTACAGATTAAACACGGCAAGCACTCCAACACACAGGCAGACTTCAAATTTCTGCCTTATCCAGCCACTCCTACATGAAAGGATTGCTGTGGCTTTCACTGTCCTAAACATTTTACTGCCCTGGCAGATATTGTGAATGGCATATTTGGATCTATGGCTGTAGACAGCTATCTGATACGTACAAATTTCTATCTTTCCCCATCACAGCTATCATGATAGAACCAGAGTCACCTGAGATATGCAGTAAGCATCTTCAGAGCTTGTCCAGGCCCCTCTGGACGCCATCCTGTCCCTCAGGTGTGTCAACCACACCACTCAGCTTGGTGTCCTCTGCAAACCTGCTGAGGGTACACTTGGTCCCAGTGTCTGTGCCATTGACGATAATACTAAGCAGTACCGGCCACAGCACGGAGCCCTGAGGGACACCACTTGCCATGGATCATTCTTCTTTTCAAATAACCTCTAGAAAGATCCATCAATCCCACAAATGTCTCAGCTTCAACTACAAAGCACAATGTGGGATTTCAAAAGGGCTTTAGGATGGTAAGAGCTATTTGATCAGCTGAGAAGGCTACTGACAGTATCTCCCAGACATCTGGCCCCAATCTGTCACTGCTTAATCCTACCATCTTAAACATTTTGTGGATGTTTGATGCCTGGGTTAACTGTAACAAACGCTGCATGATCCTCAAAGTCTGTAAATGTCAACAGAGCTCGTCAACAAGTTCATCAATAACAATAATAACTATATTGCAATTACCACTTTTGTCTTTACTCCGAGGTTGTTAATGTGCGCCTCAGACAGTGCTGCGCTACACAGAGACACTAAACAGTGCCACACAATTACAGTAAGTAGCGTGATGCAGTTACTGCATTTGAGAACGACTGCTGCTTTTAGAATAGTGCTTCTACTAGGACAAAATATGTTGTAGAAATTTACAGGAGTGAATTAGCTCACTGCCATATGGCAATACATGTGTTATCTTTATTTTACACTAAAATCTCACTGGAGTGGAACTGCCGCAGCATCATGCATTTGAAAGGCATATTTATGAAAACACTGAATTATCTCACAGCGATCCAAACACATCACAGTTTTCCTACCAAAACAATTTAATCTAATAACTGTAATTGCTTAAAATGGTTTTCCTTTGCTTCCAAGTTATACTTGGAATGCACCTGAGAATGCTGCCATGCAGAAATAACAGCATATTCCCCAAAGGGTTTATATTATCACATGTTTACCATTTTCATAAGCATATTTAATCACAGTCCTGTCTGGAATATCTGTCAGTGGGACAGATCAGAAGAAATAAACTATAAACTGAACAGCTCAGACCATAAGGTGAAGCAATAACTGACATTTTCTTAGGAAATGAGTTATGACTGAGAAAGAGAAGCCTTCACAGTTGTAGTGCTAAATAGGTCCAGTGTGCCATTAGAGAAAGCTCATTAATATACACCTCTGCTCTCTGCTGCAAGATCAGTTAAACAAGCTGCCTTTTCTTTCTAGACCTGAAAGGGAAAGAGCAGGTCATATTGGCTGCTGACATCTCAGACAGCCTACAGATGGAAAACCCAAAACATTTCATTCCGAAGCATTTAATACTATCAATAGGAAATCTTATGTCTGGTCAAAACATCTACAGGCCTTATGAACATTGTGAAATGTTCTTTCTTCCCGACTGATTACAAAATTGGGAGACTTTTATTGAAAATATATTATGAGAAAAAGGATCCTGTGAGGATATGTAGCCCTTCTGGAAGGGAGGAAACAGCCACCCCACTCTTTAATAGCAGCAGTGTTTTATAGCACACTGAGCCTAATGTTGGGGACATGGCAGGAAGCATGCGAGGCTCCAAATTGTTACTGATCGGTAACTTCAGCACACGGGTTGTTCTACCCAGCACAAGAATCCAAATACCTGATTTGGTGCTTTGGTTTTTTCCAGCTAACTCCTGCCTGGATTCATTTCTAATTCTCTCTTGCAGCTACAATGTAAAGCCCTGAGCCTGCACATACTTGTGCATGAGTACCATGACTCATGCAAGGAGTTTTATTAGAACTCAACAGAACTGTGTGCGTACATAAAAAACAACCCATAGGACTGAGCTCTCAGCTTCCCAGAGAATCCCAGTTCATACAGCCACATTCAAATGTGCAGATTTAAATTGCTGGAAGCTGCTTTTTTTCCTGTTGTGGTAACAAAATAATGGGAGATACCTTTAACAGAAAAAGGACCTGCCAATTTCTATGTTTTGGGGGGTTTTATTGAAGTCTGAACAATATATGTTTGCAGAGTGACACTTCTACATGATACTTCACTTGAGTCCTGGGGAAAAGTTGCTTGTACTCGGTTTATTATTTCTATTACAGAAAAAGCATTATGGGCTTTAGCCAGACTATTGGACAATTGTTGGTGTGTAGGAGAAACGGTAAAAAGGCTCAGAAGAGGGAAAAGAAAATATTTAGAAAAGCCTCAGTATAAATGCAACACATCCTTCACTTGTTGGGGTTAGGGCAATCACAGCCAACTATTTGACATCAACATCATACACCAGCAGCTCGTTTTAGTTGGTGCTGTTAGCTTGCGTATTTGCTAACTAACATGAAACTGGAAAGTACTAATACCTGCCCCTCTACTCTGCTCTTGTGAGACCTCCCCCATAAAAGGGACATGGAACTGTTGGAACAAGCCCAAAGGAGGCCACGAGGATGATCAGGGGACTGGAGAACCTCCCGTATAAAGACAGGCTGAGAAAGTTGGGGCTGTTCAGCCTGGAGAAGAGAAGGCTGCGTGGAGACCTCATAGCAGCCTTCCAGTATCTGAAGGGGGCCTATAAGGATTATGGCTCTCCTTTAGGGACTGTAGCGATAGGACAAGGGGTAATGGGTTAAAACTTAAACAGGGGAAGTTTAGATTGGATATAAGGAGGAAATTCTTTCCTGTTAGGGTGGTGAGGCACTGGAATGGGTTGCCCAGGGAGGTTGTGAATGCTCCATCCCTGGCGGTGTCAAAGGCCAGGCTGGACAGAGCCTTGGGTGGCATGGATTAGTGTGAGGTGTCCCTGTCCATGGCAGGGGGATTGGAACTGGATGATCTTAAGGTCCTTTCCAACCCAAACTATTCTATAATTCCATGATTCTGCGATTCTATGAATACACTGAGAACCCTGGAGGAGGTGTTTGATCAGCATACATCACTGAGTTAAACAAGGCTTTGGGCTGTCTCCTGACCACCACACCCCCCCAGTACCAGCAGTTGTAGATGCATGAGGGATGCAGACCTGGCCCATGAAGCTGTAACAGCAGTCATGAGGCTTTCAACAGCAACCTGATCTGATTCTGCATGCACAGACTTCTGTGGCTGCAAAATCCAACCATCTCCCTGCCAGTGTCCCCTGAGATGGGATTCCTCTGCTCTCACTGTGCTGCCTTGTCTGAGCTCCCAGGTCCCTGGGGAATGGCAGGTCTGCCC